TATATTCTTCGTATCATTCTGATGGCATGTGAGTGGAAAGAAACTGGTTCAATGACAGTTGGATATTGAAAACATCTAATTGGATAAAATCTGGATACAAAAATCATCTGTTTGGCTGAGTTCCCAGTGTAAAGAAATTTATTCTGGATGACACTCAGCTAAGGAAATTATCTGATTGCTTAGGTTGCCAGCATAAAATGATCTGATGATCGAGACCTAATCAGCAAAAATACGTCGTTGACTGAATTGCTACCATGAAAAAACAACATTTCAAATAACTTTTTAAGCCCTCACAAATTTATATGCACATGTAACTTTATACGTACAAGCTCAAACACAAAATCAGTTTATTTCATATGACCGTCTCTTCAGTGGAAGCGAACAGGAAGTTATGAACAATTTAAAAAAGTACGATGAAATTATCGATTATATACAGAAAGCTGTTGATCAATAGCTGTTATATTATTCAGAAAACAATTCTGATATACAAACCGAGTAAGTCTATCTTAGTCGACTCCTACTAATTAGATAAAAGAAATTTTTCAGGAAAAATAGAACGTATCTTGTTTTTCTTTATATATATAGGATAATATACTTAGTTTTTTCTATAAAAAACATTCATTTGCTTATGTCATATTGATTAGAATGAAGCAATCATTAGATATACACATTCACTATATGTATTAAAGATCATATTGATGAAATAAAATATTGAAATTATCAATTGGATAGTGTTTATATATTAGAAAATAAGAAGAAATTTCAAAAAGACATGCAAAACAAAATGTATATATGGAAAAAAAAGACTTATACAAATATATCAAAAGGCACTTTTCACATGTTGAGCTTCGATAACAACTTTAATTGGTCGAGCATTTGATAACTGTTTTCCAGCAGACTGACTTCTATTTAAATTAAAAGAGATATATTGATTTTATAAAATTAATTAAAATAATCATACGTACTCAAGTACACGTCTCGATGATAAAATCATTAATGGATTTGTTTGACTCATTATTTCATCATTTACTGATATACCATCAAGATATTGTTTTAATAACATTTTTAATTGCATATTTTCTGATTGTAAAATACTTCGTTCCTTTTCTAAAGTTAATTTATCCAATGATACTTTACTAAATCGTTTCCAAAACATTTCAAGTGAATCAAATGTATACATATCCTTAGATAAAATATTAAGAAAAAAACAGAAATAGAAGAAAGTCTATGAAAAGAAAATGAATATTATGAAATCATACTTTAGCTAATTCTTCAAATGGTGGTTCATAAAAAGCTGTTTCAACTTCGGAACGTTCTTCATCAGTTAATGTTGATGCATAAAATGGTAAAATTTTTTCTTCTTCAGCTTCTAATTTACGACACATTTCAGCAAATATTAAAATCATTTCAGCTATTTTAACACGTTTTTCAAGTTGTTTTTCAACTGTATCACATGCTGTTGCAAGTTTTATTAAACGTCGACGTAATTCTTCTTGCATTTCCAATAATTGAGATTTTAATTGAAGTAAATATTGTTTCATACTTTCTTTTTCCTAGAAAACAAAAACAAAAGAGGAATTAACAAATATTATAATTCTATTTCAATTTTTCAACAAGAAATGTTGAAGACAATCAAATTGTTGTACTAACGAATAGACAAGAGTAAAAAAAAACTCGATTCATATTTGCCGTCTTATACTTCAATACTTCTTGCAAGTTATGTTTTTCGCAGATAGGTTTGATTATTCTTTTTGAATCATTAACATATTTCATGTTTTTTTTTCATGAGAAAGTCGTTCAGTACTACAACTGATGGATTACACGATACCAATGTTTTCTACTTTTTAAGTATGGCAAGAAAGGCAATTTTTTGGTGTAGTCCATAGGTGATAGAATCCTTAGGCTTGAGGAGGGTCGAGCCTTGCTTCAATAAAAAACGAAGGCGAAGACTTAAGTATTTTAGAAAATTTCATAAACCAGAGATAGTTTTCAGACAACAACTCAGAGTTCTTTTTAGACATAACATCAGTATTAGATATGGCTTGCCGCTCACCGATTGAAACTTCTAATAGATATGAATTTTTCCAGTAGTTTTTGGAAAATTTTCGTCTGCTACTATCAATAAATTGTTGAAAAAGAGAAACAATTGGCACACTCGTCACGCCTAAAGCTGCCGATGCGTTCTTTATTAAACATCAGAGTTTTGCTCATCTTCTTCACCTCATCTCTACGAAATGTTTCGAAATAATAAACGATTAGTAATCTTTTTTTTCGTAAGATTAAATGTCGACAGAATAGTTTCACATTAAATCTTTCTTGTTAGAAATCAAACAAAGACCTAGCTACAATAAAAAAATCTTTAAATCATGTCATCATTTCACATATTTCTAAAGAAAACTTAAGTATATTGAACATTAACAATATCTATTCCGATTCGGTTCCTAAAATGCAGAGCAAAAAAAGCTGTTTTTTTTTACTGTTTAGCGTGAGAATTGAGGAAGCGACATCCCTCCGAAGATTGGGTTCACCCTTCTGAAGTTTTAAATTATTCCTCGGAAAGAGAAAATCTGAATACAACACAGATTTTTATGTTAATTATGTAGTTAAAAAAAATGCATAAAATTTCAAATGGAGTTTTCTCATCAATTTCAACACAGAAATGAATGAATACAAAACAATTCCTTTAATAAGAGTCAGAATTAGATAACTAGAAAATCGTTCGCCCTATTTTATGAAGTTTGAAATTTTTTCACTGTGTTCTTTCGAATAGTAAACTTCTAGATTTCTATTTTAACTTTGTACTTGACTTCTAATCTAAAATTCTAATTGCTTTTTGACGTAAAAACTCTAATTTTGATTAAATTTACTTGTGCAACTTTATTCATTCTTGCTTGATGATTTGCTTCAAGAGTTGCAATTTGAGATTTGACACCATTAATTTTGTCCTAAAAATAGTTTATTATTTATTTATTATATAATACTTTTTTTTCTATCATTTACAGTAATTCGATTAATATAAATTGTTGCATCTCGAATTTCTTTGGAATTTTTTTCATCTTTCATTTTATATTCTTGATATTGTGCTTTACTTTCTCTTGTTCGTTCTTTATAATTATTTGTTATGAGTGTCATTTCATTTTGTAATGCTGTTGAACGACTTTCAACATTTAATTGATATTGTTGCATATCTTCTCGATACTTAGAAAGACAAAAATGAATCAATTATTTTCATAGGAAAAATATTTTAATTCATATAATACTAACTTTATTACGTAATTCTTCCATATTTGCTTGAAAATTTTGTTCAGCTGTTGTTTCGGCATCAAGATATGTTTTTTCCATATTATAAATAATATCTTGTAATTCAGTTTTTGAAATATCATGATCACGAATTATTCTTGCACGTTCTTCACGAAATTCATATTTTATTTGTTCAACATCTTGTTCATATTGATCAAGTAATTTATCAATTGTTGATGTATGCATTGCTAAATAAGAAATTAGCATAAAAAAATTATTTGACATCAAATTTTTCTTACTAATCATTTTTTCAATGGCTTCAAAAAAACTTCTTAATGCCATATTATATTGTTCTTCAGCTTCTTCAATATCTTTGGATGATGCTTTAATAACAGTATCTTTTCGATCAATAATACGTCCAAATGTTTGTGATAAAATTTCAATTTCTTTTTTTAATTCTTTTGATTTAGCTGCTCGCATAACAGCAAGCCATTGTGTATTTAATTTAAATGTATTATTTTGTGTAAATTTTTCTTCGCGAGTTAATTTTTCCTGTAATATATAATATTATCTAAAAAAATTTATTTTATTTTCTTAAATAACTTACTCGAAGAAAATTATCCATAACAGCTTCTTTGACTTTATTTTGCACCTCTTCTTCGAGGGCTTTTTGTGTTGCAAGAAGATCTTGTTCCGTCGCTTCCATTTTTCTCTTTTTCTAATCTATAAAAAAAAAAAATTGTTTAAAATAATGTATATTAAGGATTTATTCAGAAAGAAAAAAAATAATTTTTTTTTTATTGTCTAATCTTTTTTAAAACCCATATTAATTTCCATACAAGCAAGACAACGATTTTTAGCTGCTGGATCTTGACGATAATCAACAGTGAGTGTATATGGTTCAGGTTTTGGATCAATTGTATATGTACGATCTTTACAATGTAAACAAACTTTTGTTGTTGTTGTTGACCATGCTGGATCATCAGGTGACAATGCACGTTGACAATTACGACAATAACCAGCACGATATTCAGTTACATATGTATTAACTGATGCTTTCATTTCAGGAAAATCAAATTCTGGTTGATGACCAGGAAATGCATAATGACGTGGAACTAAAATAAAATTTTATTTCAATAATCAATTATTTTTAAATTAGAAGACTTACGTTCAAGATTACGAACTTCAGGTCGAGGTGGATCACCTCGAGTAGTACCATAACTACATTCGTATGTTGAAATAAAATAATGATCATACTACAAAGAAATTCATATTTAAAATGATGAGAATAGATTAGATCAAGATGATTAACTTGAGAAGGAAGTGGTTTTTGAATTCGTTCATTCTTGACATCAGCTCGTTCTTCTTGCCAATTATTAATTAATGTTTGATTACTATAAGGTCGACGAAGTGAACCCGTTTGAAGCATGTTGAAATAAATATTATAGAAATCTCGATAAATATTATTAGCAACTACAAGATGTCATACATAGAAAAATTTTGTTTTCTGTTGCTTAGCAACGGACAAAACTTCAAAATTCTATTTAATAATAAAAATAATTACATTATTGATTTTAAATATTTCTAAAGCAAATTCTTGACTTTCTGATAGATCATCCGTTTTTTTTTCATAAATTGACTTGAGACTAGTGCCCTCTCTTGAATACAATTCAGTTTAAAAAAGTTTGTTTTTATTTCATTGCAAAAGACAATTATTATAAGTTCAATAAATGTTCATATATTCAGTTAGATAAATAAACTCAAAATTTCATCAAATAAATGAAGTAATTGATCATTAGAACAATAATGTATTGAAAAGATGACCAAACTAATGTTTCAGATCCATTTATTGGACGAAGAGTTGTGCATGGTATGCTTGTTGCAATTGAGGAGTCATATGGATCAGTTTCATTTGCATTGTAATAATAACTTGCATTCCATCTCTCTATGCAAAGTTGTTGTTGATAGCGGACCCTTTCTCCTTCAATAAATAAATTTTATAAGTAAAAAAAAAAGTGATTCAGTAATTTAAGAAATCATACGAGACAGAAAACCAAGCTCGACAGCCAACGCTGCAAGAAGTAATGCAAGAAGAATACCAATAAGTAAATAAGCCCAGCAAGGACATAAACATGAACGACATAAGGATGATGCAACTGGTGGACAACAGCATTGACATCGACTTATATTCGTCTATGGAAGAACAATGAGAGAAATATTTTTCATGAATTTTGTTTCTTACACTTAGAAGTTTTGTATTTCGAACACGTTGTTTTATCGGTGGTGTTATTTGGGTTTCAGTAACATAATGTGTTTCCCCAATTAAATTACCTGGTTGAAGACCAATTGAAGCCTAAAATAGAAACTTTTTGAGCACAAGAAGATCTTTTAATAATCTTACAGCTTGTCGTGTTGTATAAGTATTAGTAGCCATGATGATTCTCCTGAGTTAATTCTTGAAATGATCAGAAATTTGATTTCATTCTTATTTGATGAAAAGCGAGCGTAAAATATTTATTTTGAAATAAAATCTTTTTGATGAATATTTAGTTGTTAGTGGCAAGGAGAGACAGATGGATTTCAAGATCAGATGGTAAAAAACGTATACTTGAATTAAATATCATTTTTACCATATTTTTTGTTTGCAAAGTAAACTTTTGATCTTAAACCAACTTTTAGATATTGAATATTGATTTAGCTATATTCAATTATCAGGAATCCTTTTTTTCGATGTTTTCATTATTTCAATCATTCGCTGTTGTTACAAAAGAATAATATTCAACGATTGCTATCTCATTCAACAAATCTTTTGTTTTTTTTTGAAATTTCGATTTCTTTTATTTTGTTCAAGCAATTAATTCAAATTACCACGAACGGTTATCATAACCAAAGGTTGACAAGATTGTTTATTTGTCTTTTATATTTGAGAATAACGACGCATCTTTAACGGTTCTATTGTATTTGAATGCGTAACGGTTACTTCCTTTTTCGTTTATTCCTAATTAAAGTGTAACGGTCAATGATATATATAGATATATATATATACATATATATAAGCGATGTGTTCTGTTCAGTATGTTCTCATCATTTCTATTCTAAACAGCAATGTTTCGACTTCAACAATCAACAAAAACTTCTCCAAATATTTGTTCATCTCTACAAGTAATTTATTTATCATAGAATGAAATGTTATATGAAGAAATACTCTAGAAAATACATTCAACACCAATGCGTCTTTGGATTTCAAATATTCCATATTATTGGTCAACAATTGAACTTGAAAAAATATTTTCAGTATGTTTTTTTATTTATGATCTATTTCTATTTTTTTATTCTTAATAATGAATAGACATTTGGTCGAGTCTATGATATTGAAATACCATTAAAAAATGGTCAATCAAGAGGTTATGGATTTGTAACATTTGAAAAGTATGGATTTTTTGTTTTTATTGATGAATATTAATTAATTAATCGATTTATTATAGACAAAGTGATGCTATTCAAGCAATTCAATCAATGGATGGACAAATCATCAATGGTCGTAGTATGCAAGTATGTGTGAATGAATGAATTAATGTTCATTTTTTTATTTTGTTCTTTGAAGGTATATCAAGCACATGTAAAACAAAAATCTTTATTGAAATCTTATTTTCTTATTCAATCATTTGATCGTTCATTATTTGGTAGATGTTATTGTTGTAAATCAAATTCAATAAATCGAATTAACTATGCAGAAGGACATCAATATCAATGATGAGATATATAATATTATATTTTGTTTGTATATATTTATTATTCGTTTTATTATTTGTTATTGTTTTTTTGTTTGTTTGTTTGTTATTGCTTTTTTGTTTCTTTGTTATGGTTTTTTTGTTTCTTTGTTATGGTTCTTGTTGTACAGTGAAGATATTCTCTGTAGTTGGAAAGTGAAAATATATTATTTTATCGTTGTTATTGCATGTGAACTTAGAGAAAAACTTGTTTTTGCTTATTATGTTATTATTGTTATATGAAGAAAACTATTGTTTGACATAAATAAACAAGATGAAGAAGAACATATATAAAATCAAATTATTGATATAAGTAATCATACTACATGCTATGGGAAATAGTTTATATAGTTTAATAATGTCAAGCACAAAAAAAGTAAAAAATAGTGAAGATAAGAATGATATAGATATGAGAGTTGAATACATCTCCTGCAGAAATGTTATTTCTATAGGAGATGTGAAGTAATAGGAAATCAATTTCTACTCTTCTTTAATTTTTAATATTATAAAAAAAAAAGAAACTTTTATTTCTATATGCTTGCTTATAGCTTAATATTTAAGTAAACTTTCTTTAAAATTGTCAGTATTCCGACTCTAGTTAGCACTAAAATGATTTGACATTGGATAACTTATTGATAAGTGTTATTTTTATGATTCTGGATGAATTAGCTAATGATGGTATTGATAATTGTAACTGAACAAAGAAAGTAATAATGTCAGTGCGCATGAAACTTATACTATAGCTATATTTGTTATAAATTTCGGTATTTCATAAGTAGTAAGCAATGATGTAGGCATTGTTGATGATGAAATTTTGATTCTTATTGTGTTTTTTTATTAAGATGATTAGTTGTAGTTGATGTGGATGAAGGCTCAGAAATCATTGGATTCATTTCAATGTATTCTATGAACTACGATTAAATAAACAGGATAGAAGTGAAGATTGTCATCTGAATAAATAAAGAGTAATCATACTTCAAATGATGAAGATTATAATTGATATATTTCGAATGTATATATTTGTTATTCTGCGACTATAATATTTATAACAGCGATTGATATGTATATACTACTACATGTTGTAGCCGATTAATTGAAGATCGTTTGAATATTAGAAATAATTCTATTTTTAAAGGCAATCGCAAAACGAATATTTTAGTAGATGATCAGGTACATATGCGTATATACTATAATATGAAATATATTTCAATGTAATGGACAAACGGTCCAGTATGTTTAATCATATAATAATATACTTAAAGAACTGTATTAATGATATTTTCTCATACTTATACAAAGAGTACAAAAAAACCGCTTCAAACTCCGCAAGTGTTTAGTTTTCTTATCATCTCTCTGGGAAAAAAGTCAACACTATTTGCTACACAAGTCTTGTCTTATAATATTTGATAATACTTCGTTTTATTTTTATAGAATAAATCTTCGATTTTTATTGTAGAGGCATATAGACAACAGGATCAGAAGATATATGTCTATATTATTAATTATTCAAACTTCTGTAAATTATATATCTGAAATTTAAAAAAAGAGCCAAACTGTTTTTAGTACTTATTGTTTGTCTGTCACCTTGATAGTTTGTTGAAGATAAATATTATTTTGTGTGAGAACAAAAAAAAAACTCTCATTCTTTACTTGTGAAGAGTCCGTAGTTACTTTTATCTTTTCACTGTCTATCATATTAAAGTCTATACATATGTCAACGTAAGAACTTTTGTTTTATATCATATCACTGTCTGTTAGTAAGTTATTTAAAACTAGATTTTTTCATTGAAAATACTTATCATTTTTTTTTGAGTTTTGTCGGGCTCATTTTTTACTCGGACAATCTACCATCGTCTATATACGCTTTGATGATTGATTTAGATATCAATCTGTTACAAAGCTATTGACTCATACTCTCTCTCTTTCTATATATATATATATATATATATATCATAGAAAGAATTCAAACAGTTTCGAAAAGGTCTCATAATTTATCATCCTTCTCTAGAATATGAAGAAATCCATTAAAACTGTAATATATCATCTTCAAAATACTGTGAAATTTCTAACGATGTTACCTGGAAAAATAGGGAATGATCGAAAAATTTTTAGACAAAATATTTGTTCATTTTTGATTCAGAAGGAAATATTTTCTACGAATCAAAAGCTATAGGTTACGATCAAGATTTAATCCTTCGAAATGTTGTATCTATTTTTGTGCAAGAGTAATGAGAAACTTTTTGAAAGGTATAAAAAATTATTTTTTATAGTGAGTCAATAGGTTTTAATTTACCCTATAGGTTCCTTTTCGAACATGCAAAAAAAATTATCGAAGTCGGTTGTTTTGTAGAGCGGACATCTCTACAAAATGTAATATTGAATTGAACTGTAGCTTTTACTTGAACGAAACTACAAGCATTTTTCAAGAGCTTGATTCAACGTAAAACGGTTGTCGCTTTTTCAAAAAATGAGATACCTTGATGAAAGACAAAAAATAACTTGTAGGATAGCTTCTGATCTATAAGTTGATATGTAAATAAAGATCCCAAGTTTGAGTTTCGAATCTCAATAGTGGAAACCAATTATTAAGGTACCATAACATCCTTGTATTATTCTTTGACTCAAGTTTTTAAAAAATATTAATGAATAAAGATTTGATGCCACAGTAATGAGATAAATGTTGATCTTTTTGCATTGAGGATAAGCACGTTCAGAAACAAACCTAGATAATAGTTTTTATTCCAACATATTCTATTTAAAAAAAATAGACATTAACAATTTTCAACTGTATTCGATTGAGCCAGATGCAAATTCGAAAAGTTAAACCTACATAGGATTCTGATCTAGATGAGAAAGTTAAGCATTCAAATCTCGATTGATTTTAAAATAAGAAATATTTTAACTTAAGATTTTATTTAAATATGGCTGCTAAATATAACGATAATTCTGCGGATCCTTCTAATGTTTCTGATATGACAATTGAATTATCAAAAATGCTTCATCTTATCGAAGATAATGAAAATATACCACTTGTTTCTTTGGAAGAGGCTGTCAATCCACTCGTTCCATTTATCCCAGAACTCGAACAGATGATTTCGATAGTGAAAAAAAATCGTAATATAGCAAAAGATAGTTTAACAACTGATGAATCAAGTTCTATTTTTCTATATACTATAAAATGGAAGCCAATAAACAAATCGTTTCATGTCATTCTTAACACTACATTAGAAACAAGAAATCAAACATTATTGAAACCATGGTTTCGTTATCTTAAATTAATTATGACTGCGTTAAATAAACTTCCATCAAATTCTACTCGTCTTACTGTTTATCATGCTGTACAATTGAATTTAATTGCACAATATCCTGTGGGAAGAATATTTGTATGGTGGGGTTTTACATTATGTACAATGTCTCTTAATGTTTTCAACAATGAAGATATTTTGGGTCAAAATGGAGCAAGAACATTATTTATTATTGATAGTCATTCTGGTAAAAGTGTTGGCAAATATTCGTTTTATCCGAAAGAACAAGAAGTGTTACTTCCTTCTGCTTGTCGATTCCATGTAATAGGTTGTTTCGATGCAGGTAATGGATTACACATTATTCACTTAAAGGAAATTCAACCAAAACATCAACTGACTGTTCCTGTTCGACGAGGTTTTAATATTTTGCTCAATAAAAAATCCACAATGTCCTCGTTAGAAAAACCAAATCCCATTATGTTACGCTCTCTACGATCATCATCTGTATCTCCACCAACCAAAAGAACTTCCACTGAGAATATACCAAAAAGACAGAGCCTTATAGAACCAATTCAAAATTTATCAGGTCAATCGACAATACCAAAACAAATAAGTGTATTACTTCAACGTATTAATCCCAAGGTTCAAAAATCAATTGAAGCATTGCTTACAGATCCGGTAATTATTTTATTTAGTATATTCATACAACCATAATTAACAAGACAGTAAATATGATCTGTAGAGAATTTATGTCATGAATCGAGAGAATAGTATAATCTGAAAACAACCGACATACTTTTTTTTATTGTCAGTTCGACTCTGTAGAAATAACGAGAAACAATAGTAAATTTTCAACAAAATCTATTCTTTTCATCTATTAATTTATTTACAAATCTTTTTAACTTTCCTTCTTTTACTTTCTATCATCCTACTTCATACTCAATGAAAAGTATCATTAATTTTTTTCTTTTATTTTATACAGAAATTGACCACTCTAGATCTTTCACGTCTTCAAATCAGTGATCAAGAAGCAAAAGCTATTGCTTATACACTTCAACAAAATAAAGTAATATCAGTTGTCTATCCTATTTGTCGCTTTGCTTATTCACATATATTTATAGACGTTAACAACATTAGACTTGCAGCATAATCTTATTCGACCCCAAGGAGCACAAAGTCTTGCCAATGCTTTAAAAGAAAACACAGTAATCCTACTATTTCTTCCTTTTACTTTACCATTTACTCATTACTTTAGACACTGACAACAATAAGTCTAGAAAATAATCAAATTAGTGATCAAGGAACACAATATTTTGCTAATGCTTTGTTACAAAATAAAGTAACTTGACTCTTATTTCTTCTTTCTCTCATATTATCATTGTTTCATTCATTGTATTAGACACTGACCACACTTAATCTTCGTTCGAATCAAATTAGACCACAAGGAATACAATATCTTGCTAATGCATTACAACAAAATCGAGTAATTCAATTTCTTTGAATTCTATTATTTTTTTTTAATTAATCACATACTTTAGAAACTCACTACAATCAATCTTCGATCCAATATGATCAGTAATTTAGGAACAAGTTATTTAGCTAATGCTCTACAACACAATCAAGTTATCTATTTCTTTTACTCTATCATTTAACTTACTCATTTTTCTAGACTCTTACTATACTTAATCTTGCAAATAATCGAATCACGGCAAAAGGAGCTCAAAGTCTTGCCACTGCTTTACAGCAAAACAAAGTAGTAATTGCTCTTTCGCTTACAATTTCTACTTGTTCATTATTTCAGACTCTCACCATACTTGATCTCGAAGATAATGAGATTGGATCACAAGGAGTACAATATCTTATTAATGCTGTACAACAAAACAAAGTAATCTAAGTCTTTCTTCAATTCTTTTCATTTCATTATTTACTGGTTATTTTAGACGCTCACTATGCTAAATCTTAAAGGCAATCAAATCGGTATTGAAGGAAAACGATACATCATGGAAGTTGCACAAAAAAATCCAGCTCTGAACATTGTTGTATGAGCAACGAAAAAAAAACAGATACTAATACAATTCTTGATGAATGAAGCTTTTTCAAAATAAAAATTATTATCTTTCTCCTGATGCCTAAAGTCCATCGGGTCAAAAATTTTCCGACTCGGAATGGATCGAACCGTACTTTGATATTCTCAATGAAATTTTCATATCAAAATTGGATAATCGCCCCGAAGATACGACATACTGTTTTGCCAGTTTTTTTGTATTCGGTGACTAGCACTCCCTACACATTTCCCAGATAACTTGAGTTCATCGGTTTCAAAATTTTCAGGCCTGAACCTGACTGGATCTGAGTCCGAGACCAACTTGACCAACTCAATTGATGCCTTTCGTTGTCAATATATGACACAATTTATAATCATCAACAAAGAAAGAAACGTGATATTATGTTCTGTAAAGCGTCAAAAATCAATACTCTCGAGCAATTCTGTCTGGAAAAATTAGTCCGATAGATTATAAGATTGATTTGTTTATTGATTTCCACTGTTAACTATTTTAGATTATGAATTATCTTCGTTCAATTGAGAAGTTCAGAACAAAAATTGATTTTTTTATAATACAAAGAATGATTACAAGCCATAGTTCATTTTCTTAAATACGAAACGATTGTTTCTATATATTAAGTCAAAAATTATACCAGGATAACTAAAACTTTTATTTTAAAACTTGAAAAAGAAACCCATAAAAAACAAAAAAAAAAGTATAAATTATTGTCATGGTAAACATAAACAAGGTTTTTGAGCTACAATAAAAAATAAAGCAAGGCAACGGAGTAGAATAAGGAAGGCATGCTCTTGGACGTTGAAAGCAATATGAAAAAAGAAGGATATGAGAAAAATAACGATAACCTATGGAATGCCCGACTAAACAGAACAAAGCAAAGAAATGTTCCTAATGTTAAAAATACTCCCAACTACATTGTTGTTTTTGTTAGTAAGATAGTAGTTTTTTTCTCATTGAATTAATAATGCAAGTAATCGGTTAGTGGCAGCCGGTCCCCAGCCTATAAAAAAACAAGAAAAACCAAAAAAAAAAATTAATATTTAAATAGATCCTCTTCGCCATGGAATAAAACGAACAGTATCCTTATCAATTAAAATAGTACGTACATTATCAGCAGATTGTTCCATTATTCGATCATCAAATGTTACAGTAAATTCATCTAAATTTGGATCTTCTGTTGATAAACTTTGTTCATTATTATTTTGTTGATTAGGTAATGCTCTTTGATTACGAGAAGCTTGACAACGTTTAACAAAAATTGCCAATATCTTATCAAAAAAAAAAACAAAACGTGAATAAACTTTCTTATTTAAGGATTAAACTTACGGCTGCTAAAATAGTGAAAGCAATAATTAAAAAAAGTATAGTATTCCGTGGTCTATATCGATAATTTTTTCGCTGATCTGCTGCTTCAGTAATATGATCATTATATGTAACTGATTGTGTTTCACTCTGTATAGTCGAACTCGTAGTACTTGTTGTTGATGTTATTAATTGTTTTGTTATGATATTTTCATCAATTGATAAACAATTGATTTCTGTTGAATTTATTTGTAAACAAAGTTTATTTTCACAACGTGTTTTTGAATAATTTTCACAGAGATTCACTGATGCAACCGGTTGATTATCAATAGGTAGAAATGAACGAATATGTTCTCGTGTTGATGTTATAAAATTATTAGAAAAACGATCGTTTCCATACAGTTGAATTATATCTAAAGATTGTAAGGATGAGGATGAATAGAGTAGACCATCCTAAATTATCAATTTAAAAAAAATAAATTCCTTTAAATAAATAATAAAATAATAATACATACATTAAAAAATGCAAATGGCCATGCAAATGGTAAACGTATTGATGTATCATGACATTGTTTAAATTCACTATCGCAGGTATGAACGGGGAATTGACTACTATTGTTGACATCGGTTACTGTCCAAAATATGCGTTTGAACGAAGCATCTAACACAATAACGGAAATATTATAAATTTCTTTAATATTAATATTAAGATTAAAGTAGAAATGTGTAGAGTAACCTTTTTTTTGTACCCTATAATTTGACTGACGAGAAAATTCATCCGACTGATCATTACCGTTTGATCTCATAGGTAGGATTCTTAGTGTAGATGAAAGTTCTGACAGAGTTCGTGTTATTAGGCCTTTCTTCTTGAGTTATGGTCAATTTATTGAACTTTCAGTCTTTTGCAAGATATCATAAGAAAAATAGTAACAAGGAGTTTCTGCCTGAAATTTTGCCCAGCCAAACACTCTCATGATTCTATTGTAGTGATCAGCGGAGTCGCATTTTTTCACTCCGAAACCCGACTCCGATTCCAACTCCGACACCGAAAAATTTTGTATTCGCGACTCCGATTCCGTTGGAGTCGGAGTCAGAATCGGGTTTCGGAGTCCTATGCAGTTCACTATTCTATTGATATCCTGAAAGTTAATTAGTCCAGTTTTCGAGCATATAATATCTTAAAAAGACATCATCCGTTCGAGCTGAAACTCTCAGAATATCATAGAAACTACGAGAGTCCTACGCCGTAGAACTGTTACTTTTATCTTAATTCAAGAAGTTTTTATCTTCCTCTCCTTTAATCGTGCTCTACGCAGAAGACTCAAAGTGATAAATAGCAAAATAGTATCACGTTAGCGATGTGCAGGATAAGCATTTTTCGTACTCTGTACCCTGACTGAGAGCAATTTTCTACCTCCTACTCTATCCTGCATATCTCTCGATTAAAGATTAATACGCTTAAATAGTCGAAATAGATAATTTCAAAAATTTAAGTTAATTGTGTAAAGCAATCGAAATCTATCTTTTTTTTTTGTTGCTTTTATTTATTTTCATGAATATTTTCATACCATAAATAAATCTTTTTATTTCACGATCACTTGTATATAAAACTTTCGTTGAATTTGGTTGGGACATATTTGATTTCATAAATTGATAAGGAGAAGAAAAAATAATTTGTCTATTAAAAACATCAATTACAATTGATTGTATTGAATTTGAAATATTATTCAATTGCCAAGAATGCATTTTGATATGAAATGGAATATCACAAGTAATTGGTGTATACATTCGTAATGTTTGTGATTGATTTTCAATAATAAATAAAGTTTTTTCATTTTCATTGTATGCCAAATCTTGAACAATCACATTAGAAATAAGGACTATAGGTTTTATAATTGTAGTTAATGTACTAAAACTAAAAAAATAAGATTATTTATATTTAATTACAAAAAAAAACAGAAGAAATAAATAAACCATAAAATAGCACTTTGTATTTGATCATAATAGATAACAAATTTTGCATTTGAATCATATTGTATACGATCAAAATGATGAGTTTTTGTAAGATCAGTTGTATTTAATAATTTTGATAAATAATGATCAGTATTATTCAAAATATTATAGAGAATAATATTATTATCAAATAATATTAATAAGTTAGCTTTTGATTGATCTATTTAAATAAATATATATATATATATACATAAATAATTTTCAAAAACAAGACAAAATAAACAAACTATTTATTTTTCGACATATTTTTGTGTTTTCATCAATAGCAAAACCCAATGGGCATGTACAGTTAAAACTGCCATCTGTATTTAAACAATTAAATGAACAATATGTACGAAGAGAATCATTACATTCATTAAAATCTATTTCAACAAATGATTATTTATTATGTAAAAAAAAAAACAACAACAAAAAAGAAACTTGAAAACTAACCTTGACATATTTGCGTATTATTTTTTAATGAATTTTTTGTCAATCGATAGCCTTGTTTCGTACATCGACAAAGTTTATCAACTGCTCGATGTTGAATACAAGTCACATTAACATTTGTAATACATATAGATTTTGACGTACATTCATCTGTACAATCTCGTTCATCATCACCCATAGGACAATCTTTACTATAAAAATTAATGATTAATAAATTTTTACATAGAATAAATCTTGATCTTTTTTTTTTTTTTTTTTACTTACTATCCATCACAAACACGATCACTCGATATAGTTATTGGCTGTATAAGTGTTAATGATGATGAACAAGTAAATGTATTTGATGATATTGAACGCAAATTTGGTACTGAAAATATAGATAAAGATAAAATATTCATTTTAATATTTGTTTGTTCAAACTTTGTCATTCAATTCTGTGTAATTTTTGTCAAAGTAAATATCATGTATTATTTTCAAAAATACACTTCAAACTAATAATTTAAGATAAACACTTTTCTGTAAATCAATCTCGAAGATTTTTGATTACACATTTTTATTTCGCAAATTTTCGATAATCTTTTTTTTTTTGTCATTTATAGAATAAATAAAATCATTTCAAATTGAATAATTCAATGAATTTTAATCAATGTGAATTATTCGATGGTGAAATGTTTCTTGTTGATGATATTTCCAATGTATTCCGAAGGTTTTATTTCGATATTTTAGTGCTTCTGAAAGTCGACTTATTGGGTTTGATTAAATCTTTCATAGTCAAAAAAGACTATCGATGTTAGATCGAACATATCATTAGGATGTTGTAAAGCATCATATCATTCACTCGACACAATGATAATGTCAGAACAATTTTTTCTCTTTTTATCAATAAGAAACATTGGCTATCAAATAATTTACATTTATTTAAACTCATTGTATCATTCAATCTGAAATGATTTTACTTTTTCTATGAATGGCAAAAAAGGTTTATCGAAAATTTGAAGAATTGAAATGTGTAGTCAAAAATCTTCAAGGTTAATTTACAGAAAAGTATTTATCTTGAATTATTAGTTTCAAGGGTATTGTCGAAAATAATGAATATTATAACAAAATTGTAAAGAACTAAATGATGAGTTTTATTGAAAATGTCTGAACACATGAATATTGAAAGAAAGATTATTAAAATACTAAGAAGTCCATTCTCTATGAAATACTCGAAAGAAAATTAAAATTTCCTCACCTGTTGATGTTAAATGTGTACAATTTTGTTCATCATATCCGTCAGAACAATCTGGGGCACCATCACACATCTTACAAAAATCAAAATTATACTCATTAAGAATGTAACATAAAAATCAATGTTTTACCTTTGATTTTTGAATACATTCACCTGTTGGACAATGAATTTTATCCGGTTCACATGAGATACTAGAACAATGAGCACCTTCATCACTTCCGTCTGGACAATCTTTTTTTCCATCACAAATACGACTGTTTTCAATACATGTACCATTTGCACAAAATACAAAACCAAACTTACATTTTTTTATATCTGGCATTAAAAATAAATTATTATCATTTACATTTCTAAATTATATAAATTCAACTAACCACATAAATGTTCATCTTCATTATTATGACAATCTTTTATATTATCACATATTTGATGAGGTGATAAGCAATCAAACGAAAGGTGAGATTCAATATGAGTTACACAAGCTATTAAATCAGATTCATGTGTTGGACAATAATGACCTGCAGCAAAAATACTTAATCAATAAAAAAAAGTTTTGTATACAAAAGAAAAGATACGAACAAATACTCTTTCCTTGCTCATCAACACACTTATTATTACCAACACAAACTTTCTCAATATTTATGCAATGTGTTTTATTTAAACAAGGTACTAAACTAAGAGGACATCCTAAGTATCCACGGGTAGCTAAAAATAAAAACCAAAAAAAATAATAATTATCATAAAAATAAAATATTTTAATTTACTTTTTATTATCACTAAATGTATTAGAATTAAAAAAGCAGTTGATTTGATAATCATTTCTTTTAATACCAATGTTGCAAATGCCATTGAATATTTTCATTTATTCTTTTTACGATTATCATATATTTCTTATAATCTAAAAACAACCAACATGCTTGTTATTTCGTCTTTCTAATAATCGTGATAAAATTTTTCTATCGAAACATACTATTTGCATTTTGCCAGATCCATGAATGTGACTCGTTATATAAATAGTTGTATTGTATCAGTTATTTTTTTAAGATTTTCATTTTGTATATGTAAATAAAAATTCTCTTGAATATGGTTTCTAAAACAAAACAATGTCAATGTTCAATGTCTCATTAACTCTTTTGATCAAATACAATATATTGTAAAGACTATTCTCGTGTTTATTTTATGATGTATACAGTTACATAGATGAAGTGGGTTAAGAAAAAACAAACAAATGCGATGTCACTACATACCTCCTATTGTATAAGCATAATGAAAAGAATAAGGTCAATCCGTACCGCACGCAAATATTCGTATGAAACTATCTATGATGACCTTGATTTTTACTAATCATAATTAGAATAATAATATATAATAAATGTCTTCTTGACAAATAAAGATAGAAATAAATTTCATTTGATATTTTTCTGCTCGATAGTTATCTATAATTACATCTATTACGTATATGTCGTCTCTCCAATAACTTATATACCTTTATATCAACTTCATTGATGTGGGAAATTTTGTTTATTGATCCGAAAAGTCCTTCAATATATAGACTATTCTAGTAACATAAGAATTTTCTCTACCTAGATTATTGATTATTATCTTTGACCACTTTTCCTAAAAAATATTCCTGAGAATTTTCATTTTTTTTGGGGGGGGGGGAATTTTTCAGGATTTATTTTTGAGAAAATGAAATATGGTATCTGAAAAAGAAACCAAACAGTTGAAATAGATATAACTCGTGCGTTTCTTCATTCGCACCATTCATTCATTTGTAAAATGTATAACATCATTTATCTTTTGAAATCATACATCAAAGTTTAAAATTCATGCATATAAAAAAAAAAAAAACAATATTGTAAACATTATTCCTTTTTTATTTCTTTGTTTACTTCTACAAGCGTTGTTTTAATATCAAGAATTTTATCTACAACATCGCATTCAATAATTTCAAGTAGAACAGGTTGTCCTAATTTAAATATAAAATTATGATAAACAGGTGGTATTGTATCACGATGAAATGATGCATTAAAACGACGGTGTATCAAACAAGCTAAAATATTTAACAATCAAATATTAAAAAAAAAATATTTTTCTTTTCAAATAAAATTTTTTACCGATATGTTTTTTGCCAAGTTTTGATATAATAGCACGAACACATCTACCACGTTCAGGTATAAATAAAATAAAATTAAGTCTGACAGGTACCCATAATGTTGGTTCATCTTGAAATGTTTGACCAACATCAGATAGTAAACGAATTTTACCAATAGCAAGTAGAAATCCATTTAATCTTAAATATTTTCAAAAATAAAAAAATGTTCGTAAATAATTTTCATATATACTTTTTTGTTATTTCATTTGAACTTTCTTCAAGTATTCGTTTAATATTTGTTTTAGTTTTTCCTATTTGATTTGGTGGTAATGGTACAAGTATTGTTTGACATTTATGTTCCAAACATGAATTTTTATCATTAATAAGTGGAAGAATTTCATTTAATTTATATAAATTCATTTTTGTTTTCTTGTTCTATTATCTATAAAAGAAAATGTAATCGAATATTTTATTTATAGCAAACATTGATGATAAAGAGAAAAAAAAGAGACAAGAAATTTTCGTTTTATTTTTAATGTGTTGTTACACGTTGAAAACCAATTAATTTATCTGGATCTTGATAAAGCCATGCATCAGCTGTTAATGATTGAATATTTTCTCGTATTTTTTGTAAATGTTGAGAATGTAATTCTTTTTCTGTTTCTGAACGATAAAATTGTGTTGCATTTTCTAATTCAATTGTATTTAATATCATTGCATTATTAGTTGTTGTTGTTGTTGCCATGGTTGGTTCAACAGTAGGAACATGTGGAGATTGAAATAATGCTTTACGACTAGCATCCATCTAAAAATAAAAACAAAATAAGATTTGCATTATTAATAAATATTTTAAAAACTCGAAATGTATGATTAAATATCTACGAATAGAGTGAAGGGTGTGAGTGTAGGTTCTGATTAAATTGAAAAAGAGGCGAATTAATAATGTTAGGAAACAAGAGAAAACAAAAATAAATATCTGATATGAATATGACAAAAGAAATAAGTTTATTATTGTTATATAATTTTATTTGATCTTAAATTTTTTTTTAGTTTGATTTTAAATTGTTGTTTAGGTTATTGTATAGATTTTCTTGAAATGTCAATGAAACAAGATAATTTCCAATAAGGCAAGAAAATAGATACAAGAAGCTTATTTTGAATGAGTCAAGAGAAAATGAATGAAGAATAAAGCATCCTTTTTAAAGTTACATTTGAATTGAATAAGGACAATATCTTTGAATTTTTTAAGCTTTTTTTTGGAAAAAAAAGAAGTTTTTTTAATAAGAAAAAATAATAAATGAGAAAAGAAACGATTGAACAAGAGTTTTTTTTTTCTGATGATTTAAATTAATTTTAATTCTGTTTTTTTATTTGATTTTTACAATCAAGCTATGCAATACATGAAAATAATTGAAGCGATGGGTTTCGAATATTCTTTGAGCTATGTCCTATCTACTACAAATGGTCCTTCTTTTATCCACTCGCGTTCCTTGCTTCTACTCTCGTCCAATAGGAAATTTTTCTCGTCGTCTTCAGGACTCCTATTCTCATTGATGTGGAAAAGATGTCGTCATCTATCTCTACTATCTCATTCTAAGTCTATTCTAGTAGCATAACCAGGAGTAGGCCAACCTAGGAGTTGCCCAGGGACCGACAGTTTTTGTCTGGGTGCCAACCAAAAGAAAAAAGTAATAATAACCACTAAAACATTTGTCCTTTCCTCTTGTATATACAATAGCTCTGAAAAAACAATTAGTAAGTAATATCTATAGGATAAAATCTAGACACACTTATGGGCAAACCATATTAGTCGCTTGTTTACTTTTCGTTCTTGCATAGACATATATATATATCAGAAAACAAAAGAAACAATGGATTACTCTATAAATAGTGTATCCAAAACCAGAATTTCTGTTTTTGAAATGGGGAAACTTTCTACAGAGCCTAAATATAGGACTATTGAGTCGTCGTTTACTTAGGGTAATCCAAAAGTAGGGTCGTCATGATCTTATTTCCTTATAGACAGTTTGAAAAAAATTTTCATTTTTTATGTATTGATAGAGAAAACGATGCTGTATTTTTCTATACTAGTTCACCACTATTCAACTAATATTATGATAATAAAATTTCGATAAGATCTGATTCGTTTGCATATATAATGGGAGCATGAACGGTGGTGAATATTTTTTGAATAACGTTTGATAGCAACAAGATAGAGAACTGTTGTTTTCACTGTTGGAAAGAGAAGATGAAGATTCATCAAGTCGTATATTATAATTTTTTTAATATGATTTCTGAAGTTTTTTTATGCAATTTTCTAACCGTTGGAAAAATGCTTTTTTATAAAACAAGGAAGAAGTAAAAAAGTTGCTAGAAAATTATATTAGAGGTTCGACTATAATCCATACTATCCCTGAATAATTAAATTTAAACATCTAAGTTCTTGACAGTTTGTAGATCTTCGATTAGTGGTTTGAATGTACATCTGATTATTGAAAATTCACTGTAAACAATTCACGGGATGGGTGTTTTCTTTAAAAGATCAATTGAAGATCTTAGATAAAAAAACAGATTAGAAAAACCTATAACATACGATGTAATGCGTCTTCATCTGTTGTTTCCAATGGTGAAAACAGCAGTTCTCTATCTTGTTGCTATCAAACGTTATTCGAAAAATACGAGCATTCATATAACCATCACATATCATAACAAACAGTTCTTTGTCGAAACTTTTATAATAATGATAGTAGTTGAATAATATTGAAATAGTATAGAAAAATAGAGCATCATTTTCTCTATCACTACATAAAAAAAGAAAATTTCTTCAAGCTTCCTATAAGGAAATAAGATCATGACGACACTACTTTTAGATTGCCCTAAATAGTTCAGAAACTAAAAAAAGCAAAAATCGGATGTTTCTGTAATCTTAGCTGAGTTAATATAGTCATTCAAACAGGTCAGATTAATACATCATAGTTTACAAGTGAACAACAAGACCCATCTGCTTCAAATAATCAACAGTGTAAACAAATTCATTCACCTTCATCAGAATCTGCTCTATTATTTTCTTCATCATTAAATACATCACTGTCTGATATTACTGATATCAGTCGTTCAACTGATGAATTACCAACAAGACCAATACTTGTTTCTTAAGAGATTTTTGTGTTGATCGTGAAAAGATAATTGTTGCTTTTGTTATTCAACATAAGAACAGTCGAATAATGCTAAAATAACTGTTGTCTACTTATTTTTTTTTCTTTTTACTGCTTAATTTCACTTAAGAAAATAACAGATACATTGTTTTGTCTCTCTCTTTAGAGGAACGAAAATTGGAAGGCTCATTTGAGCTTCAGAAAAAATTTAAACTATTGTAAATAAACCTTTTTAAAGGCTGTGGGGCACCGCCCGAGCACCCACAATTTTCTGGTTACGCCACTAGTCTATCCTAAGTATCTTCTAACTCAAAATGAAATCTCAATGGTGTAGATGCTGCGAGGGGGTTCAACTCAAGAACAAATAAACTCCTATCACATAAAAATATATAATTACAAAAAAAATATTTAACAAAAAACGAAAAACAATGTTCATTGGCGATGTTGATAACGATGAATCTAAAACAAAAATAGGGAAAATCGAGTATCTGCTACCTTAATCTATCCGTATTCTAACTCTGCTACTAGTGTCTTAATCTCTGTCTTAGGTGGTTTCTTATGAACTAATACACTCTTCAAATTATCTGTTAATCTATGGACAAAAATGACTGAAATAACATTAAGTAGAGTCTTCTCAAAAATTTTCTGCCAAATTTGGTGGAAACTCGCCCGAAACAAGTTAAGCTAGGGGTATAGGTAAAATAAACTAGAATATCTTTATTAAAATTAATCCCAGATTTTTCCTTCTGTTCGACTAATATTTCAAAAAACCTATTAAAATGTTTATCTATGAAATTTGGGGATACTTATTCAATAATAAAGTTATTCTAACCTTTTCTATTTTCTTTGCTAAATTATCTCTATGGGAGCATATTCTAAATACTCTTAAAAGTGCTACAAAGGATATATTCTTCGTAACATATGAGGGATGTGCTGAGTTAAAGGGTAGAATATAAGGTTGGGCTGCAAACTTTCTATAGACCTTTATTCTAAAGTTGGGGACTTCTACTTGTACTCTAACATCTAGGTAATCTACGTACTGTCTTGTCTCAAGAGTTAATTCTATATTCTTATCTTTGTTCTATAATTCTATTAAAGTCTTATTTATTTCTTCCGTACTCTTCTTAGTTGTTATGAAAATATCATCTGCAAATCTAAAGTACAACTTCCCTTCTGTATTTTGTTGTTCATGAAACTGGTTTTCCCATTTTCTCATGTAAACATCTGCTAACACTTGGGTACATTCTGATCTCATGGATCCTCCTCTAATTTGCTTATAATAAAGGGTGGTCTCAAAGTTTCGACTCCTCCTTAGTAAATCAAGAATATCTGTATGAAATTCATGTGAAGGTATTGATCAAATAATGTCACTTTGTAGAGAAAGAGAAGAGCCTGAGTCTGAAAGAAAGACAGTTTGCAATACATCTATTTATTATAAAGTTATGATCATTTTACCTAATTTCGAGTGAAAATTTTTACTTTGCGTTTTTTGCAAAAACAAAAATATTCTTGTAACGCCTGAGTTGGAATAGTTTTCTAGATTTTGTTCTACGGTTGAGTAGAGTTCGTCAAGTTCTACGAGAATATGAATATCAACAATTTTGCTTATCCTGTTTCTGACACAAAAGTTGGAGGCAATTAAAAAGTCTAGTAAAAATCTTATATATCGTGTATTAAAGAAAGCGTGCTTAATTTCCAATACCTTTGGTTAATCGATTAGTTAGTGTATTCCTGAAGCTCGAAAAGGGTGTGGGTGTGGGTGCTAGTGTAGATTTTTTCCTCAGCGATCCTCATAATAATACTCACGCCCGCACTGTTCTGCATCGAACTCCGAGACATCGGAATGATCGTGAAGAATTCTTTCGGAATTACATCAGTGAAGTATTGAGCGATATTCTCATTAACAATTAGCATACATAGTCTAGTCAAAAGAAAACTCATTGCCAAAATTACTCGAAGTTAAAAAGTTTGACTCTGCAACAGTGGCAAAACCAGAGACGACTTAGTCCGTAACGAGATTTTTAAAAGATGCATTTTTTCTGCAACAATCTCTCCAGGAGATTAAAGATTCTTGGAGAAATCTGAGTCCTGCTCCCTCCAGTCGAAAATCCTGACTCCGTAGGGCTCTAATTCAACCGTTCCGATGACAGAACTTATATAAAAACATTAGATTTAATATGCTTGTATTCAATCAAATTCTTCGAATTTTTACTGTACAAAGTCAATGTAACATCATTTACATTTAAATCAGTATAATATAATGTCTTAATTTATTTTTTACTTTAATCGAATAACATGTTTCTTTTTTTTCGAAAATCTCAAAAAACATAACAAACAAACTATTGGTCTTACGAATATAATCTTTGTCTAAGATGAAAACGAACAAACAATAAAAAAAACAAAACGACTAACACATGAAAAAATGTTGAAATTTAGACTGCTCATGTAAGTATTTTCGATCGTTCTCGATATGCAGCCCACCAAATAAGTCCAAAAATAATAACAGCAAAAAATTCACTTGGTAACCATGGACCATAACTTGCACCCTAGAAATACAAAAGCAAACAAGTCATTTACAGATGAGAACAATTTTCTTTTATTACTGGATGATTTATTTCAACTACACCAAATGGTTTAGCTGCTTTAACTGCATCTTCCGTTCGAGCCTACAAAATAAATATGATATTCAACTGATCCATTCTTCATGAAATAACTTACTTTACGTAATGCTGAATATGATTCGTCATCATATAATTTAACAACTGTAGAACCTTTAGCTAATTGTTTATGAGTAGCAGCTGCTACACTAACCTATAAATCAAACAAAAACTGATTTTTTTCTTTTTCATTTTTAATTAATTCATTTCATACATAATATTTTCCTGGTGATGAAATTGATTGAGCACAAGGAACAACTTGTCCATACATATCAGCATAAAGAGTATTTGGCTAAAAAGGTATATAGATATTTTTCTTTTAAATGGAAAATTAATTAAAATCACAAACTTGTTTTCCACTTTTGCATTTAATTGTTATTTCAAGTTGAGCTGCTGATTCAGCTGTAAGACGTGCATCTTTTGTTGAATATGAACTAACTTGGAATTGTGGTGATTCACAATTTTCGCCTGAATTAAAACAGATTATTAAATAAATGAATAAAAAAAAAAAATTATTTTTACCTTTAGCAAAGGCAAATAAAACGAAACCTATAAGTACAATTGATATCATCGAAATATTTCGACCCATGTTGTGAAAAAAAAAATCAGTTACTGATTGATGTGGCAAAGATGTGATGATAAAATACATACATTATTTTATTGGAGAATTTGTGCTTATCAAAAGTATAAATTATTTTTATAATAGATAGCTAAGAATTTATTTTTAGTTTTATTAAAAAATTAAAATAAAAATTCATTTCATTTAATTTATATATTAATCATAATTGAGGGCAATGAATTATTTTTGAATGAATAATTTCTATGAACCAATCGATGATTTCCACAAAAGAATTACTTGCTTCGCTCTTTTGATAAGATATCTGGGACCAATGACTCATACTTTCTATAACAGGTTTGAAAGTGGCTGATGCACTTTGATTCAAATTTCGGACAATAAATTTTTTTGGGATGATAATACATCAAAATGATTCAGAATTTCATTCTGATTCGAACATTCTATCTCTAATTTGAGGCAAATTTTTCAGAGATCCATTTAAAGTAAATTACTTTTCAATAATACTGACCTCTATATTTTTTCTGTGTTATTGGTCTAACAAACCTATAACGTTGCTTTTAACAGAAATTCACTCTTGATTATTTTTGACCTGTTATTTTCACCACTTGAAAACTTAGAATGGTATTAAGTCAGATATTTTTTTTTATTTCGATAATTTATATCATTAGTCATCATGAAATATTTATTATTTAAAATTGTTCTAAGTCAGAACGTTCTTTCATGGAAAACGTCTTGGATATATTATGTGTGATGTTTGCTAAAATATTTATATTGAATTTTTGTGATTTAATGATTATTTTTAATTTAGATTTGCCTCATGAGCTAATATATATAATTAGTGTTGTTCATAAGTTAGTTTTGTGTTTGAATTATATCAAATGTAAAAAGAGTTATTAGTAAAAGATTCACAACATAAACTATTTTGGTCTTAAAATCAGGAAGAATTTGGCACGGTAGCCGTACATACTAATGAAGAATCAATTTGTTTTATAATGTTTCTTTGAAATCATTTGTAACATGTGCTGTAACCAAATTGATAAACTTTTTAATCAAAGATAATTCGAAATTATTTTCAAGGAAATTTTTTGAAACAAGTTAATTTTGCGTGGGCAAGCATGAATATTAGTCTAAATATTTGTTGTAGCGAGATCCAAATAATTTATAGTAAAACTTTTGTGATATTCTGATTCTGACAGAAAACATTTGACTACGTAGTAGCTTCGAAAAATGTTTCAATATTTCTTTCTTTCAGTGAGTTTGTTTTGTTTTATTGTTGATACTTTTACTTTTATTTGCAATAAAACCAATGAATGCATTTGATGAACGCGAACAAAATATTTGCGATTGCGATGTATGAAAATAATTAAAAAAAGCTTTGTATCTTATCACATAAAAGAGTGAAAATAAGAATCAAATATTTGGTAATATATGGAAAGTTTGAGCACAATATATTCGTTCTTTTCAGGGAGAACATGTTAAAACCATCTGCTCTCTATTGCAAAATGTTCTGTCATTACTCATTTATTCCATTTTAGTCCTCCTTCGTTACTAGGAGAACAACCTTCTCAGTGATGAGTATCTAAAAAAAAAAGCATTTCCCACAAATCAGATTAGTATTAAACTGTTTCTTATCTTATGCTAATTTAGGATAAATTAGAATTCTTTTAATTTTTTCATTGCTCGACTTTAATCTATAGATGTCGATAATGAGAAATGCATCTACTATTGATAGGCCCATGAAAACAACTTTTTCCTGAGAGACAGTATACCATTTCTTTTTTTATATTATATGATAATCAAATAATACTGGACATGAATATCTGGATTCAATGTACCATTTTTATCTTTTTATTCAAGTTTTCTTCTTGTAATAAAGATGCTGTAACATGTGGTTCAACATTTAAATTAGTGAATCAACAATCCGGAGATAGACTTCATTCTCATGATGTTAAATATGGTTCGGGTAGTGGACAACAAGTAAATTAATATTTATTTTGAAAATTTTATTTACAAAAATTTATCTTTTAGTCTGTTACCGGTACACCGAATGCTGATGATGTGAATAGTTATTGGCAAATTCGTGGAGATATAAAAAATGATTGTGAGCGAGGGTAATTAAATTAAAAAAAAATTCTTTTATTTATTAACTAGTTTTATTCTTTCTTTTATATAGAGCACCAATAAAATGTGATAATATAATACGGTTATTTCATGTAACTACTCGAAGAAATTTACATAGTCATAATTATGCATCACCATTATCAAATAATCAAGAAGTATCAGCTTATGGTGACGATGGTGTTGGTGATGAAGGTGATCGATGGAAAGTTGGTTGTACAACTAAAAATGATTATTGGTTAAGAAAAGATCCTATTCGTTTGCAACATGTTGCTACTGGAAAGTAAGAATAAAAGATATTTTTTTCAAAGAAAAACAGAGATTCAATTTTTTTCTTAAAAATTTGTTCCTTTTTTTATCTCAGAGATAAACATTAATAGTAAAAATAAGAAAATCTATACAAGAATAAATGACAGTCAATAATAAGAAACTAGTGAATGAATAGAATATGTGTTTTAGAAGTTTACTTTTGTAATGTAGAAAAAGCTTTTGGTTTTGAGTAAATATATATTCTTTTATTTTAATTAAAATCAGATGATTTTAATAATTATGTTTTCTATCCAATCGACATTGAGATAAAGACTGCAACTTGCTTCAGATATTTAACAGTATCACATGAACTGAGGAAAGAAGCCATCCGACTGATAATCTCCGTTTAAACTCATAGGTTGAACTCAGTGTAGATAAAAATCCTGAAAAGGTTCGTCCCATTAGGCCTTTCTTCTCAAGTTAGGGTCATTTTACTGAACCTCCAGTATTTTGCAGGACATCACAAGAAAAATCGCAACAAAAAGTTTCAACCTGAAAGTTTCAGCTCAAATGGATGTTTTCATTCTGAGATAATATATTTACAAAATAATGTTACTTTCCCCCGAGAGCTCCAAAAAATAGTCCAGTTTTTAGGCATACGATATTTTAAGAAGAAATTATCCGTTTGAGTTGAAACCTTCAGGATATCATAGGGGCCACAAGAGCTATTATTGGACAGAATTTCAGGTTGAAGATCCTTGTTGCGATACTTTACACGATATCTTGCAATAGACTGGAAATTCTGTAAAATGACCATAACTGAAGAAGAAAGATCTAATGATATGAACCTTTTAAGGATTTTTATCTACAGAATGAGTCTTATCTATGAGCTGAAATGAAGATTATCAGTCGGATGGTTTTCCTCGTGAGACTAAAGACATATTGCGAACCTATTTTCTTCAGCTTTTAGTCAAGTTTGGGGCACATCGAACTCTAGTAGAACACCTTTTTTTTTCGATCGGACATCTAGTGGGTTTTCAAGTGAATCTTTAGAAAATTTCAAAGATTTTCATACATCTAGCATTGAATTTCAAGCTATAAAACATATATTCGAAAAGAAAATTATTCTTTTTTGAACTATACAGCTCTGAGATTTCGGCTAGTGGTTTCCTGGACTGCCAAAAAACTAGGTCTCGGGAGTGCTAATTGACTATACTGAGTCGAATAGTGATGATTGTTTTCAATTTCAAAACAATCCATAAGTATTACATCTAGATTTTCAAAATATTGAATGTTGGCACAGTATTGCTTGAAACTTTCGAATGTCGAAAATCTGGATATAACAGTTGTGGATTGGTTTCAAACAAACATCATTAATTGATTTAGGAGGGAATCTGTTCATCTGCTTCCTTCCAATTTCAATGTTGTTGTTTTTTTTGACGATAAATACTACATAGTGTTCTAATAAAAGTCTTAAAAGGATTTGGGTTTGACTGAGCTATCAAATTTTTAATATGTCTATTTTCGAGAGGCTTCAAATTTTAGGAAAAACTCGTATTTTCGAATTTTAATCTGCAACTTTGTGTATATAGAGAGTTCAACTAGATTAGTGTCCATGATAAAATTCAGAAGTTTTCAAAAAATGTATGTGGTATACACTGCCATGGAAAAGAATCTATATCTTAAAAACCATATATCTCAAAAAACCTCTGTTGAAAACTTTTGAATTTTATTATAAACGCTAATCTAGTTGAGTTCTCTATATGCACAAAGTTTCAGATCAAAATTCGAAAAGACGAGTTTTTTGAAAACCTAGAACCTCTAGAAAATAGATATATTAAAAATTTGATAACTTAGTCAAACCGATATCAATTTAGAGTTTTTATTAGAAGACTATATAGTATCTATAGGCAAAAAAAAATAGTGAAATTGAAAGAGGACAACTGACGAGGTTTCCTCTTTAGCGCGGTTAATAGTTCCTCTCTAGATCTATTTCTGTATAATTCAGGACACGCTAGCCAAAATCTCGGATGTGCTCAATTCAAAATAGAACGATTTTCTCTATCGAGTATATTTTTTAAAACTTGAAATTCAGTATTAGATCTTTGAAAATCATGGTAGTTTTCTCAAGATCTATTTGCAAAATTTCTAGATACCCAACTAAAAGAAGCTCTTCTACTATAGTTTGGCTCACTTCGAACTTAACTACAAGTAGACAAAAATCGTTTCGCAATATCTCTTCAAGTTTAAGAGTTATTCGAGTTGCTACGGTTTGCCTTCTATGTAGAAATGTTTAATAGTATCAATTATTCAACTCACTACATATTAAAACAGGCATTATCGATCAGATCTCTAATTTTATTTGCGTTTATTAATATGATTGAGTTCTCACATTTTTTTTTGTTTTGGATTTCATATCAATCTTCTTATCTTTCTGAATGTTAAAAAATGAATAGATTTTTAATTCTGAATTTTTTAAAATTTATTTAGATATCTTCATTTAACTGGTGATACATATGGTCGACCAATTCATGGTCAAAAAGAAATCAGTTGTTATTCACATGCCAATAGTCAAAATCTGTGGAAAGTCGATTCAGGTGTTTATATACGTCAATCATCTGAACCATTGTCATCAACACGTGATG